CCTGGCGGGGGGGCGGGGGGGGGCGGACAGGTGCTTTATAGCCCTTTTGCATGGGCCGTAAAGCACGGCCGAGCCCCTGCCCAGGTTAACATGCCGAGAGATTGGGACGGCCGCTTTACTGGCTCCACTGGCCACCGGGTGCAGGGCAGGGGGAGATCTGAGCAGGATATTGGCACAGCGGAAAACGAGCCCTTGCTGGGGACGCTGGAGGCGGGGGAATTGCCAGCCCCGGCTCGAGGAGGACATGTGGGAGGACCTGCTGCGGCTAGAATGAAAGAACAAAAACCCCATCGGAGCCGTGGTGGGAGGGGAGCAGCGCTGCAGGCCAGGCCTGCTAGTCACCTCCCTTTGTTCAGCCCACCGCCCTCCAGCGGGAGCAGCCAGGCTGGGCGCAGCCTTCAGGGAGAGATGCTTTTCTCAGCCTGCCCCACCACCGGCCCCGCAAACCCTGGGGGTGCTATTGTAGTGGGGGGGTTCCCCGGGGCAGCCAGGCTGGGCGCAGCCTTCAGGGAGAGATGCTTTTCTGAGCCTGCCCCACCACCGGCCGCGCAAACCCTGGGGGTGCTATTGTAGTGGGGGGGTTCCCCGGGGCAGCCAGGGTGTGGGGGAGAAAGTGCTGTGGCCCATCCCCCACTGCTGGCTCCATGATGCCGGTTGCCCTAGGCATTGCCTGCTTCATTGTGTCTGTGCAGACTCAACCCGTCTGCCTCGGGGCAGGCTGGGGCCCGTCCGACCTTCCCTTGGGCACCACGTAGCAATTCGGCCCCCTGGACTGGCAGCGGCATTGCTCCTGGGTCGTGCCAGTGACCCAGCGAGTCCCATTCACACCAGGGAGGCGGAGCAGAATCAGACCCCCTGAGCCTACATCCCTGCGACACAGCTTGGCCTAGAGTCACTGGAAAGGGGCACTTGGGACTTGCCTGTCCCAGGCTGGGGGTGGGGGTGGGGATGCAGCTGGGAGCACGGGGAGGGGGTTCAGAGATGCAGCAAGTACAACGCTAAGAACTGTAATTCCATTAACAAACCACCGACAGAGGGAAAATGCCAACTCACTGGCAAGGAGAGTTCCCTCACACTGCACTGCAGGGCACTGCCCAGACCTCCCCCGGGGAGCGATGCCCATCCCATGGGGCAAGGCACTAGTGGTTACTGGTGGTGCCACCAGAGGTGGGAGCTGCTGGAGAGATGCTCTGATGCTGGCAGGGGCAATGGGGTGGGGGGCCCTTCCCTGCCCTCACCCCTGGGTCCTGGATTCCCCAGTCCTTCCCCAGGGTCAGGTACTTGCCTTTTGGGGCACGCTGGAGCTGGCAAGGCAGGGTCCCCCCATGGGACACTGGCAGGAGATGGCAGGGAGGGAGGTGAGCTGGAGGACAGTTCATTGCTGGGATGTTGCAAGAAACCCTCACAGCAAACTGCCCCATTGCAAACCCCACACCTTGAACAGCCCCCTGGGGCTGGAAACGCTGACCTCCAAGCCCTGCACCATGTGAGGCACCCGGGCCCAGCCTCACCCTTGCCAGGTGCAGACAGTGCAGGGCCCTTGCTCAGTGAACGCCCCTCGACCCTCCAGGGCCAGTGCCCGTGCCCAGTGACCGCATGCTGAGCTCATCCCGAGCTGGATTTGGCTACACGCCGAACGTGCCACCTCTTGGACGGGCGTTTGCTTTCGGGGTAGGGCTGGGGCTCTCCAGGGCACCCCCTGGGCCAGACTCCAAAGGCGTTATGGCACCAAAGGATGCAGAGAGCCACCTGCTGGATGGTGCTTTTGTACATTCCTCACAGCGCGTCCCTGCTGCTTTCGGTGCTTCCCCACACCTGGAAACCTGCCACAAGGCAGATGGGCCTGAAACCCGGGGGCCCCAAAGGAGCAAACAGCCCCCCCTTTCCAGGGAGCCCTGCAGGCAAAGCCAAGAAGGCAGAAGGCCAAGCTCCAGCTGACCAGCTCCTGTGCAGGTCCCATTTAACACCTCTGCTAAGAACGCCGCCCAGCCGCCCTTGCCCAGCCGCCCTTGCCCAGCCGTGGCGTGGTGGGAGGCAGGAGCCCCAGTGCAGCCCAGGGCTCTGCCCAGGAAGGGGGGTAGCCCAGGGCCAGCTGTGCTCACAGGGAATAACAGCCACAGGAGTCAATGCACTGGTCCGAATTCCCGAATGCCCCAGCCCCCAGCCCTGCCACTGCCTCCCACAGGGCCCTGCCGGGGAGGGCTGGTGAGGGCAAATGCTGAGTCAGGGCATTCAGCAGCACCCCCTCCCCCCGCCCAGCTCTAGGCCCCCGGTGCAGAGGAGTCTGTGGGCTCTATCAACACTCTCGGCCTCCTGGGCCCTCCGCTGGTGGGTGGTGGCAGATGCCAACGTGCTCCCCGTGTGCTGCTTGCTAGCCCTCGCCTTGCACTGAGCTGCCCCAGAGCCTGGCCCCCTAAGCTGGGCCGCCCCTAGGGCGCCCCATATAGCACCAGGGCTCAGCACCCCACAAACCAATGGCTCTAAAGACGGGCCCTTCCCCTGCTCCTAGTCCCAGTCCAGTGCCCCTGGCTGCCCAGAGGCACCCAGGCCTCAGTGCTTGCTGGCCACGCTGGGGGGTTTGGCCTGGGGGACCACGTGAGGGTTTGGAGCAAGATGCCTGCAGATGGCGACACAGTTGCCTGCGCCACGGGGGCAGCACACGTGTGCATAGCTGCAAGGCGTGTGCCCGTGTGCGAGGGCACTAGCAGGGCTGGCATGGCCCCGGATGGGGAGTGCAGCACATAGGCCTTTGCAGTCTCCAGGCAGCAGAGGGCACAGGGCGTCCCAGCACAGCCCCCCAGCCGGTGCATGGGGGGCATGGCTGTGCGGGAAGAGGGACCCAGTACTGGCCATGCTGGGGGGAGGCTCTACCTCTGCAGGGTGTATGGTGTGGTGTGTCCATCGTGTGTCCCAGGGGCATGGGTCTGAGAGTGTCATCAGAGGGGGGCTGTGGGGGATGGGCACTAGCATGGGGGGGTGTCTATGGAGGATGTGGGGGGAGGGGCACTGGCCTGAGGGGGATGGACTCTGGCATGGGGTTGTCTATGGTGGGCATGAGGGGGATGGGTGCTGGTGTGGGGGGATGTCTATGGTGGGTGTAAGGGCAAGGGATGGTGGCATAGGGGGTGTCTATGGTGGGTGTGAGGGGGAGGGGCACTGGCGTGTGTGTGTTTGTGGTGGGCGTGGGGGGAGGGGCGCTGGCGTGTGGGGGTGTGTGGTGGGCATGGGGGGGAGGGGCGCTGGCGTGGGGTGTGTGTAGTGGGCGTGGGGGGGAGGGCGCTGGCCCGTGTGTGTGTGTGTGTGTGTGTGGTGGGTGG